TGAGATTTTTCTAAGTTGGCATTTAAATGATGTTCAGTGTCATAATAATATAATTTATCCTCTAAATATTCATAAAATAATTTAACCTATGCCGTAACATAACTTCTTTTGTTATTATATAATGATCAGAAATTCATATATAGAGTTTGTGCAAACGTTCATTTCAGATTAAAATCAAACTATCTGTATTCTTGAATTCATACAAATTCCAGTATTTTACGAAGTTCATACAAGAAATTCAATTGATAATGAGAAAATAACAGCTATACCTTATGTCAAATATCCAGTCTCATGTAAACAAAAATATTAATTAAATCTTTAATAAAGTTGAAATTTATCGCTTGAAAATTTGTTTGCACCTGCTTAATAAGTGCACGAAGCATAAATCTGAAGACTGAATATTTATTCTGCCGTATTCAGGAAAATATTAACAAATTAATGATGAAGTCCAAAAAAAAGACACCTGATATGTACGAGAGTTAATAAAAACGTTATGTTATAAGTATTCGGTGCATTTTAATTCTCTAAATCAAGAACAATAAAATGACATGCTCTTTACGCGCGGGTTTGCTTAAGCGTAAACATAGTTTATTGTTAACAATTGGTATACTGAGATTTTCAGTATATTCTTCCGCCTGCTTGTTGTTTCTCTGGGTCACAGTTGTCTGCAACAGTAGCAAGTGTTTGGGTGAGTCGATGTCGGCTGAAGAGACGCCAGTTCGCCACCGTTGTTATTAAATTCGCACATAGTCTCGTAAAAATCGCGCGTTAGATTATTCTTCAAATACATACAATAAAATATTGTGTAAACGATAGTTTTACAAATAGTTATAAAACTTATATTCGATTTTTTACAGTTAGTTTTAATGCGTAGTGTAAATTTAGAAATAATTTTGTTGCATATATTCAATATGCTTGAATCTGCAAAATACACTGTAGCTTTGTTTTATTGACTCTACTCGTATTTTACCTTCCACTAAAAAATTTCGTTTTTTGCCAGATCATAAATGGCGAAGTGTTTCATCAAGTTGCAAGAGTAAGTCACAACTAACGATTTCTTCTATCATGAGCGCGGACAAGTCTTGGGAACATGTGTTGGCCGTTTGTATTCGAAATGGATTTGGTAATGGCTTTTACGTTTCCCCAAAAAAATCGCTAATCAGTGAGCTATTATTTTCTGTCAGAGTTAATTTAAATTTCCGCAACACTTTAAATCTGTACTTAAGCATGTAAATCGTGCACACTATACAGCATATCTACTGATATATTGAATGAAAATTGAAAATTGATAAACTAACGAATTAAAATACTTCTTCTTCAGTATTGTAATCGCTGTTAATTCTATTGTGTTCAAAGCTCTTTTCGTGAAGGCGTAAATGTGGACATATCTTTCGTTTGTATACCAAATAGTATGGAAAAAGTTTTAAACATCGGCCCTTTTCTATTCCTGTGGGCTTCTGTTTTACAAAGTTCCTCTGCTGAAAATTCGGTTTCAAATTTTGATTCAGTAAGAAACAACAACAGTTGTATGGTTACCCATTTCCATAATTCTTTTAACTATGAAACCTTCATTAACGCTATGGAAGTTTAAATTCGAAACCATTCATTTACAGATATTTCTTACCTTTTTACCTATTCTGAAAGAAAAGGAAACATATGGTCTAGGATCCTCTCCGTTATGTCTATCCTTGTCTGCCCTGCTCCACTACCTGCTCTAGGCTTGCCCAGTCTTCTAAATCCACCCTTCCATCAAAACCACCCATGATTACCAAACTTCCCACGTTTTGAATTATTATCTAATTTTTTAACCTTTCTACTAATATGAAATAAAATGTAGGCGGTTCTAAGCACAAGGCGGACTGCTGCAGAATACTTCAAACTGTACGAAGACTTGTAGTGCCACGACGCAGGCGCAACCCCTGAAGAGACCACGTGCTGTGCAGACCCCTCGAGCACGGTGTGTTCGTCATCTACACACCGACAATCGCGCAGCCAACGCCCGCCCCCCCACCGCCATGCCTTACCATGACACGCAGACGCACCGCAAACAGTCGTCCTTCGACGCCCCACGACACTACGAGAAGCACTTATGAGTTATTTTCCCCTGATAACCTACAAACCAAAGCCTTATGGTTGAATATCACTCTCGCCTAAACTTGAAGTAAAGAATTATTCCTACAACTATTTTTTTCACTGTCTGGGACACTCGGATGTTTCCAGTTGACTTCAGGTGGCCATTGCTATGGATAATTTGCCCTTGACACGATGGTCTTCAAGCTCGCAGCATCTTGAAGTCTTTAAGTGTGTGTTGTGTTGCAGTTCTAGCATGCTCTAGGAATGTGCTCTTAATTCTGGGGTGCAGGGTTATGCATATGAAGGATTATGTCAGAATATGCTCAATGTCATGCTTGTAGAAATCTTTATTGTGGGCTTTGTAGGTGCACTGGGGTAAAGTGACCATGTCCCTTACGGCTTCTGTTGCAAGGTGCAGAGTCATGGAACATGCGATTTCCTTAGTTCCTTCATGCATGATAATAGGCTATTGAGACTGTTTTTGTGTGATAGTTGCCCAGTGGGCATCGAAACTCCTCGAGAGTGCGGCTGTGCAGGTGTGCAGTGCATGTGGGAACTCTCTCGAGGTGTGCGCTGGTGCAGGTGCCGCATGCAAGTTGGAGGACGTTCTTCCTTTAAGTGCCCTGGCAGTGGCCCATGGCATGTGAGAAATGTGGCTCTGAAAGTGGCCGGGTGGCAAACGGCCGCAGTACATGTGAGGGACGGCCTCTCGAGGAGTGTGGCGGCTGTGCAGTGTGCAGGCATGAGGAGGATGTGCTATTGAGAGGTGTGCGGCTGTTGCAGTGCGGCAGGCATGTGGAGGACTGCTCTCGAGGAGTGGCGGCGTTGCAAGGTTGGCAGTGCATGTGGAGGGACGTGCTCTCAAGAGTGTGCGGCTGTTGCAGGTGTGCAGTTGCATGAGGAGCGGATGTGCCTATTGGAGTGTGCGGCTGTTGCAAGGTGCGGCAGTGCATGTGGAGGACGTCTCTCGCAGAGTGTGCGGCTGTTGCAGTGCTGCACGTGCATGCTGGAGAATGTGTCTCTTGAGGTGTGCGGCTGTTGCAGGTGTGGCAGTGCGGTCGAAAGGGGCCGCCGGAGGAACGAGCGGCTGTTCCAGAAGGCTTCCTCCCGCGGCTGCCGTGAACTGTGCCGACAGTTCGCCCGTGGAGGGACTGGACGCGCAGCTGCAGGCGGAGTGTAAAAAACGCCGGCGCTGACGGGCCAGTGCCCGCTCCGAAGTGGTGACGGAGCGGCTCGTGCCCCGGGTAAGGCCCCCTGGGGCCCGCCAGGGCGAGGGCGTCGGCAGTGCGCCGCGTGGCCTTGACGGAGAGGGCGACGTGGGCTTTTCCTGTGGGCGGCGGTGGGCGATTGCGTATTCCGTGAGCGGGGCGGGCGGCGGCGTGCGCGGCGCGCTTCGCTTCCAAGACGACCGCTCCGGCGCCTTCACAAGAGTTCCTGTGGATTCGAGGGTAAAAAACAGTGATATTTATGTTAAAATGACGTAAATTGCTACTCATTTTCTCATTCTTGGGGGGTGAAAGCGGATTTTGATGGACTAAATATTCTCCAAAAATGATCAATAAAAATACTCTTGAAATTGCACAAAACAATTCGTTCCTTAATTCAACACATTAATATTTACGTAATGAATATTTGTCGATTCCCCAAAGTATATACTAAACTCCATCATCCATACCACGCAATATCATTGTTCAAGTATAGAATTTCCGATCTATTACGTAAAGAGATTGTTTCTTATATCGCTCTTGAACTTCATATCCATTCTCATAAATATACTTATATTACCGTAAAGACTAAACCAAAATAGAACTTGTCTGGTTGATTAATTTATTTGTAATACCGTTTAGCTTCAAATTGTGTAAACCCACTGCACAAAGTTCTGGCTTAGTAAACGTTGACAAAGGCTTCGCACTGCGTACGGCCCGGCCCGCCCATTGCGCCGGGGCCCCGTGGCCGGGCGCACGTGCACGTTCGCGTGCGCGGGGTGCCGCAGGGTCCGCGCGCCGCCAAGCTGCTGCAGCTGCTGGACCAGCACGTGGACCAGGTACTGCCAACACAACCGCTTCTTAATGCTTTCGGTAAAAAGGCAGCGTTTGGGCTCGTGTATCATTTACAGTGTTACAAGTATAATAACATTGATTGTTACATACTGTTTCTATTCAAAACAAACATACAATTTTGTACATTATAAGCAACGTGTTCACATTTAGTGACATGAGTAAACGGTAAAATAAAAAAAAAATTAAGCTCTTTAGTATCATATATGACATGACCCACGGTAGTAAAGTGTTACCAATTCAACTAGAGGGCAACAAAATATGCTTCCAATTCTTTCTTTTCCAAAGGCAATTTCAAACGGTTATTCAGTGATGAGCTATAGCAAAACTTGTGATGTACACCATTTCTCGAATTATTTGTTACGGATGTGGGTTATTTTATAATGCAAATTGTGCCTTACTTATTCTTGATTCATGAGTGAAAATACTTTCTTCAGCAAAAAGTTCAACAAAAATTAAAACTTAACTCGCGCGTCCTTTGCTCTGTAAATTAAACAAATTTAAAGTAAAAATGTTGAGTCATTTTGAAAAAAATTGGAAAGATTGTTAAGGCATCGTGTAAAGAACCTCTCCCAAAATCAGAATATCCGTTTTAAATTCAAGGGGCCGCGACATCAGCCAGATTGATCGGAAGCATCAGTTTTGGAAAGATTCTATGAACATTTTTTCGCGCCAGTGATACCCACAGACAGATGGACGGATGGAGAGACGGATGTTAGAGGAATGTACTACATATAAGGACAATAATTATCCACCTTTTGTTATCAGGCTCCAAAAATACGAGTTATTCTAATGAAAACTCGCCATTTTCCGCTTACAATAATGTCTCATTATATCGTAGTAAGCGAGGAAGAAAAATTTGCGAGCAATTTTTGAGAGTGGACAAAAGAGTTCTGTCAAAATTCCGAGATGAATGTTTCGCAGGTGTGCATTAGCTTGTCTGCGCACAGGAGAGTAACGGCTGCGCCGTGGCGTGCGCAGCGCTGGGTGTACGTGGGCGACGAGGAGCTGCGCGAGTACCCGCTTGGGGCGCTGCAGGCGGCGGCGGCGGCGGCGGCGGGGGCGACGGTGATGGTGGTGGACGCAGACCTGCAGCTGGACGCGGCGCGCGCCCTTGTCGCCTCCGTCAGCAGCCGCCTCCAGGTCGTCTTCCTTTCCTCGGGCCACGCTGCAGGGTATGCATGGTTACTTTTATTTACCCATCTATTCATTTAATGTCGATATTATTATTATTATTATTATTATTATTATTATTATTATTAGCTAACTAAGATCCCATGAAGGGCAAGGTCCTCCTGCCTTTTGAATGAAGTGATAATGTGATGTTGAGGGATGAAAGGATTATAATGATGGTGGGAGGTGATCGTGGCATTTTTTGAACCATCTCAGCATTCATCTTATGACCGAGCAAAATACGAAAAACCTCGGTTAGGAGGGCCGCCCCAGAGATCGAACCAGGACATCCCGACAGCGAATTTAGCGTGCTACGCATTGAGCCATTTCGCTCGCTTGATTTAATGTTGTACGTCACTATCCAGGATTGGCTGAAAATGTTGGAAAATAGTTAACTATTTCCCATCTTTCTAGTGTAGTCAGTCTTCTTTACAATGCTTTTAATATCGGTTTTCGCATTTTTATCTATGGAGTTGAGTGCAATGGATTATTTCAGAGGCAAACAAATTTAATATGACTCACCCGAAAACCTAATTTCTCTAGCACATTGTTGAAGCAGATACGCCTTAATACTGTTCAAAAAATTAAAATAATTATATTTGCAAAATCAAGCTATTTTTCTAGTTAGGAACCAGTTTAACAAATTTTTTGTAGTATCTGAATCAAAGTACGAAATTTAAAACTGTAGTGTTGAGAAAGAATCAACCATTATTATCAATTAAATAATAATGGATCATTACTTATGTGGTTCAGTCATTAACACGTACTTCCTACAGCTTTTTAAATTACTTTCATTCGCTATTTTATTTATTAATTTTCTAATGAATCAATTCAAATTCGAGAATTCAAAACTGCGATTCTATTCAGTGAAAAACATCATCATTATCATCATCATTGTCATTATGAAGCGGGCGTTCTACGCTTTCTGCCGTATCCAGCATTTCAGTCTCCACAGCGTTCTATCCTGTACATCTTTACGATTAAGGATCCTTTCTTCGGCACCTTCGTACAACTAGTTTTGAAGATAATAAAGATTTTTCTTTTGTATAAAACCTGTTTTTTCAAAATTAGTTCTTGAAATGAAGACCAATGCATATTTTCAAAGTATGAATAGTTTTCGAATAATTTTACCTGAAATAAAGGCAATTTTAAAATGTAAATTTTCTCAAGAATGGCTCATTTTTTCTTTAAACTCTGTTTACGGATGCACTGAAAAGTAAGCACTGTGAATACACCGAACAACTTGACATCTTAGCCAGTTTGATGTATTCATTAGAGTTTTCAAAAATTATACAGGTGTAATTATTTTATATATGATTCGTTAATATTTATATCTCGAGCGGATACATTATTGAATTTGTGAGTACCAGTGATTTAAATGATCTTACGAAGTTTCTCGAAAACTCTAATATTTTAAGTCGAAATGAGTTCAAAATGGAGCATTTTCAAAAAGGCTCAAACGACATTTTCTCAAGAACGGCTCCAAATTTTTCAATGAAAGTTTTCACATATTACTGTCTTCTTCTGTAATATTCTTAAAACCATGTGTCAATCCTAACATTAGGAGAGTGAAAAATTGAGAAAATATGAAAAAAATTCTTTGGCGCTGATAGGTAGCTGCTGGGAATTATGGTGAAGCAATTCTACCGAAAAGCAAATCTAAAGTCATTAGAAAAGTAACTATTGCGAGAAAGTCTACGCTACTCTATGGAACCATTAGTTCTTATTTAAACCCTTTGCCACGCGTATATTGTGTTTTCGTATTTTAGTTTAATCAATCGAAGTCATTAAAAATTCCCTATTGCATTGGTCGCGTCCATAAAGGTTTTAAAAGTTCCATTTAGACATAATGAATCCGTAAGGCTCTCTAGAGTATTAACTATTACTATGCTACAATAGGAAGTTTTAGCGCCACGCGTAAGGTGGGGGCGTTATGCACTAAAAGTCACGTGACGGACCTTGAAGTCATAACGTCTTACGTTAGGTCTAAGGTATGAACTTATATCTTCATATATAGTGTACGGCTGTAGGAGTCTTTACCGTCACCTTACAAGCGGCATAATGGCCGCCTGAAACAGGAAAAGTTTAATTTTCCAATTCTGATAAATCGATTCTCGTATGTGAGACAGTTACAATTTTTCATTACTAACTCCACAACGCTGGCAAGAATTAACGGGATATGTTGGAAAGGAGACAGGAAAGACATTCGCGAAAAAGAAATTCAAATCATATCTTCGGGATATGTTATGTCGTATGCTCATAACGTACAATGTTTTAAGATATTTCCTATATTTTCAAGAAAAGGCGGTTGTAAATTCCAGACTGCATACTCAGCACGGAGCTCCCCAAAATTTAAAACTCCATGATAATTGGTTTAGGGGTTCGAGTTCCGCGTAGACATACTTGTTTGACCCTCCCCCTGCATGCATCACACTCCCCACTACATCCCTTTGTTCTTGGCTCTTTCGGGTGACATTTGAGTAATAGGAAGCAATTAGCCTCTGGAGAAATAGGCCTGCACATTCGACCTCCAGAGGGCCTTGGTTCGAGGCAAGTGGGCGCTACACCTGGCCGGTCCCATTCCTTAGTACCTGCCCTTCCGTCGGTAACAGTGTGGGGCTGGTAATACCTGGTAGCGTTTCGTTCAGGACACGACGGAGTGTTACCTAGGGGCAGCCATGGTGGTTATGTGCAGCCAAGGCGCTACCTAGTTGCAGCTACCTAGGTGTTCCATCGGGTAATTACCGACTGGCACGGGCTACGCGTGTTCGAATTTAGTACTTGCACATTGGTCCTTGCGCCTCTTCGGTATCTGTGGCGGAACCATGGTAGCAGCGTGTAGTGCATGGTAGCCTCGCGTGGAGGTTAGCCAATTCAGCACGAGGGAGGAACAGATACAGCCACCTAGGAAGTGGCTCCTCGAAAGACTCGAAGAGTTAAAGAGGTGCTCAGACTCAATGAACAGCCTTCAACTTACTTGGGTGCTTCGTGCTCTAGCGGCGCCCCTGCCTCAGCTGAGGACTCCGCTGAGGGCTCGGCCGAGCGCCCCTTCGAGGACGTCTGGGCCCTGGACCATCTGACAAATGAGACGCAAGAGAGGTTAATGAACTCCACAATATTATTCCAGGTGAGTAATAAGATTATATCTTATTCTTCGACATGTGAATTTGGGATTTACTACGAAGAATTGCGACTAATGTAAGTACAAATCAGAACCAATAGACTACGCAGAGATCTTTCTTTTGAAAAAATAAGATAGATTTCTACCAAAGATATAAATAAATAAATAATATTATTTTGTTTGGGATCGACATAAATTATTGTCGAATAGTTATGTATGCAATTTATCAACGAACTTCAGGTTTTTGAACGTTTCTTAAGTGATCTCTTGGCATCACTTCCACAGTCCACACACTTTGGCTTATCTGCCCCGCAACCCTGCATCACGAGGCCGATCTCTTGACTCTACGAACGCGTAAACGTGTTGCGGTTTTGAAAGACTATAATTTTATAAAACCAGTAATGAAACTAAAAGTGGCCTTTGAAGCCATTCGCCGCCTTTAATATGCTTTGTAATATTGAATCTATGTATCTGAAGCAACCCGAAACCATTCATTTCCACAACAGAGCAAACAAACGTATTTTAGCACTAACATCTAGCAACAAAACTCAGTAATCAAGAATTTTTACAAATCTATTTACCTGTACAGAAAGTGTTATAGAACATACTCTTTCCGCATATATCAATTAACACAATGGTTTGCTTTATTTTCGTGTAATATTTATATCGGAGATTTATTTTATCAAAATCAGGTGTTTGTACATTTTCTCCATTTTGCACCCTAACAGAAGAATGGAGACTTGAAGAATGTAATAGAAAAGTAAAAGCCCGTTTTATGTGCAAATTTACATTCCAAAACGTGGAGCCGTTTTTGAAAAAAAATATCGTTTTTAGCATCTCTGAAAATTCACAACTGTAAGCTAGTTTTCACAGAAATATTTTTAATTTTCGAGAAACTGCACATGTCATTATTTGAAGCGATTGCAAATGCAGTAATGTATAAAGAACACTCGTATTGTAATTTCATTTGTATATTTTTTAAAGAAATAAAAGTGAACATGAAAATGAGGTTATATTATTCAGTACACCTAACACTACCTGTACAAAAGTTTAAAGAAAAAATTAGGAGCCGTTTTTGAGAAACTGTTGTTCCCAAGAATTGTTTTAAAAAATGCCAAACTACTAATATTTCCTTAAAATGTACATGAAGTTAATTAAATAACTAATTGTGGGTAACATTTCATTTGTCATCACTGTCTTTATTAACCTCGTATGAGAGATAAAAAAAATTGAAAAATTGAAAAATTTTTGAAAATTGAGAGTTAATAGTGAAAATCGGAGCTAATAATTTTTTATGAACAACTTCAAAGCAGCACCACAAATTGTCAGTTCTGCCGCGTGATTCACACGGTGTTCCTCGTAGAGTTGGCAACAATTAGTATAGTTTACACGTAGCATCCAAAGGTTTGGTTGGACTGTAACAATGATTTATCCATAAGTTCACATAAGTAGTTTTTTTCAATTCGCTAAGAAACACGTATTTAAGATATCAAATTTATAAATGTTTAAAAAGATAATTTAAAAAAATGCTAAAATGTGCATTGCAGAAACGGTTCCCCCCATCAATGGTGGGTGGGCCGAATTTAAAAGCGGACAGAGTCCGTGTCGTTGAGCTTGTATAATAATGCTAATTAGCAAAACTTTCAGCTTCATTTTTCCTCCATTTCCTCTACACTTTATGATAATATATAATTGTAAAAATAATTATAAGTAAATAATGATCTAAAATAATTGAGCTCCCCGGTATTTATGCCTTGAAGGAAAATGGGAACTACAATCCCGTTGAAACAGCAGTGATTTTTTCTCACCTTGTGCTAAAGTGCCCGAAAAGGAGTGTGGTAATTGTGGTGTGGCAGGGGCGGCCGCTGGCCCTGCGCGCGCTGGAGGGGGCGTGGCCCGGGCTGCGGGGCGGCGTGGGCGGGGCGGCGCTGGCGGCGCTGGCGCGCGGCCGGGCGGTGGCGCTGGGCGCCGCCCCCGAGGAGCCCCCGGTGCCGTGCCTGTACGTGGCGCGCGTGCTGGAGCACCCGCCGGCGCTGGACGCGGCCGTGCTGCGCGCGCTGCGCCCCGAGGCCGACCTCCTCGCCGTCAGCGGAGACGCGCAGGTGCGAACGCGCCCTCATCCTCAACCCCCTCCCCCTCAACCCCTTTGCCATTCCGCGACCTCCCTTGTTTCGCCCCGAGGAACGTCGTAGAATGGCGATCGAAACGGTGTTGGCGCCTGCCGGAACGCAGCCAACTGGGTACCTACGAGGACCTTTCGATCATAAGGCTCCGTTGAGAAATTTGAAATTTCCCAATGAAAGACTCCTTCGCGCACTCCAAATATCGCGTTGTTCTATCTCGGCACAGTGCCTTTACGAACCTACTCGTAGTAACCGATCGTGTAGCAAACACACCTACGTATACTAGAAAGGAAAATATGGGACCGTTCTTTAGGTCTTGTTTATGTATTATTTTAATTGCTGAGATCGTATTGAAAATTCCTTGGGGCATTATGTGAAGTACACTCAAAATAATAATTTCAAATTTTCAGAGCTTTGTCGAGCCAAATCATGTGGGGAATATTCTGTCTGGTGCAGTTTCTGTCTCAACTTGTTTACCAATGGAAAGTCAGAAGTTTTGAAATACTTTTTTCAAATTGGTTTGAAGGTCCTTTAATTTTTAGGCAGTCTTTGAAGTTATTCTCATTGAATAATTTTTAAATTATATTTCAAAACAACAATTATTTTTTTCTAACAGCTCTTCCTCTAAGTGCATTGAAATTACGGTCTTGACATCGATTATTTGCTTACACTTCATAATTTGATTCTTTCAATGAGGGTCACACTGATGTGATTAATAACAGAGAAGTGTCTTACCAAAGTATCCAGACGTCGAAAAAATTGACATTTTGCAATTAAAAAATAGATATTTCAATGAAAAGAGACCTGTGCCTTTTTTTAACACGCATGTCTTCGTCCAGTTCGTTTGAGGAATATAAAGTCTGGAAAATATCGCTACTGTTTAAGCGCTAGCATTGACCACAGTCAAGAGAGAGGTTTTGCCGTCAACACATTTTTCGGTACCAAGAACGCACAACGTGGGTTCTTGAAACGAAACGTGTCCTCGTACGAAACATGTTAGGGAAATAAATTTACTACACCCAAGAACACGATATCTCTACTTTTTCATCATTTCCGCCCTGCGTGGGCGTGGGCGTGGGCGTGCGCAGGCGCTGGTGGAGGAGCAGCGCGCCCTGGCGGAGGCGGAGGCGGCGGAGGCGGCCGCCGAGGGCGCTGGCGTCGAGGGGCTGGCCAGGGGCACAGGCCGAGACCTCCCGCACTTGGAGGTCTCCTGCCGCCAGAGGGCGGGCGCGGCTGACGTCGACAGGTAGCCCACGCGCAAGGGGATAATACTCTCCTGCATTTATTTCAGTAGTATCAGACGCGGATACACTGGGAGGGAAATCCTCCCCCTCCCCCACACACACACTACAATTTTTCAATATCTATGAATTTAAACTTGTCACGAAACTTTCATGCAAAGGTATTTTAGGATAATCAATAAAACGAATACAATCGTATTGCAGCATGAGCTAGTGTAGCCTACCTTTTACAAAATCTGTAATATGTCACATGCGACCAAAATATTTTGGATTTCCCCTCCCAAAATTCGTCTCTTGATCCGCTCTTGGTAGTATATATACGTTTTGTCTCTCACACGCAACCGATCTTTATAAATGAGGTCTCTAAAGAAACAGAATTTCGCGGAAACATGACGACGGCTGCTTTGGTCGGTAGTTTTCCGTGGTTTCTCCGATCAACACCAGGCGAGTACCGGAGCAATACCCTCACAAACGGGACACGGACCGCGCGCGATCTTTCCGCCCCCTTCCTTGTCCTATCTCCTTACATACACACTCATACATGATCACTACATTACCTCATATGCCGGGAGAACAGTAGGAGGCTTAGAGCTTGACCAGGCTGGGGCGGTGCCCCGGTAAAGGGAGACACCTTGATAGAAAAAACCCGCAGGGAAGGAACACCGTCAACTATAAAAACGTACTATTCATGGATTTTAACATAACGTCCCCTGTCGTAAATGTGGCGGTGTCATCCAATCGGGAGGTTGAACGTCCCCATAGGGAAGTCACTGTCGTGATGTGTAAGCTCCCGATTGGATGACACTATATCAGCTGACGACCTGCCAATCGCAGCTCTGGAAGTCTAACGTGACTACTGAGCTGAGCAGTAATAATAATAATAATAATAATAATAATAATAATAATAATAATAATATATTTATTTTGGCCACAATT